CCCCCCCCCCCCCCCCCCCCCCCCCCCGTTACTGCAGGATTACTCCTGACTCAACCATTCCAGTCAAGCATCTTTTCAACCTGCTCATATAAAAATATTTGAACAACGAAAGCATTGAGACAGTTTTTCACTCCACCCCAAAGATCGTTTTTACAGGAAGATGACAATAGCTCTACTTAAAAAGGTACTTCTATTGTCTTTCTACAATCTACCATGCAACATCACCTCTCTAAAATCAGAAAACCAATTTGTCACTGGTAGTTATCACTAGTAGTTAGAATGGCTCCTTACCATTTCCCTAGACTTGGCCTAACCCTCCCAGTCTAAGAACAAAATCTGTCCAGACGTTTCATTTATCAGGTCAGAATATTACAACTGGAGTAAGTGAGAAGAATGGACTTCTGGAAGAAATAATTAACGAATCTAACCAGAGTCTAAGATTTATTTTATGCAGAGTTGAAGAAAGGGATAAGAAAAAAAATGTTAGTTAGCCACGTACCCTTTTTACATCACTGCCTCCACCAAGACAACCAAGAGCTTCAGATCTCTGACTGAAGAACTCTCCCAAAGACAAACATAAATAGCTAGCATCCTTATTAAGATCAAATGTCTGGGATGCTCTCAGCAGGTTATAGCTGTTGGCAGATTTCCACGATATATCTGCTAGCCCAGTTGTATTTAGTGTGTCTATTTTCCCTACCTGTGAAGAGACATTTTAAAATTTGTTAGAAATGGGGGGGGGGGCAGCTTCCTGTAAATGGAGAGAAACATTGTTGTTACTAACCTGCAAAAATCTGCGTTCTCTTTCAAATTCTTGTTCATCTTGTGCAATCATAGCAACCGCTTCAGCTTAAAAAAAAAACAACCAAAAACTTATATACGTTGCAATAATTATAGAACACTATGAAAATACAGCTTAGGCTTTTAAACTGTCATATCAAGTTAAAATTTAGTGTTTTACCAAAACTAGTCAGTGCACACTGACACAGCTGACATGTAATTTGCATGCCAGGCAGTTTGGGCAAAATTGCAGCTGTTTTAAAAGTGATAATGACTGCTTATATGCATATTTAAAAAGTGTCCAAATACCTCTGTCAATCTAGCCTGAGGGTGAAGAAAAGTTCTTATTTTAAGAACAACTCAACCCAGATTCCTACTATTTGAGACAGTCTTCAGAGTTGTATGGTCCATAGCTATAGAAAGTAAACTAACTTCTGAAAAACTTCTAAGATGTATTTAAGAAAAAACATGTTTCCCATAAACTGCTTTAGTTAGAACAGGTGCATTCACCAGTTTGTTAGAACACCTAAAATAGAAAAAGCCCTGATAATATATATTTGTTATGAATGTAATGTCTTGAACTGTATGTGTATTATTAGTACAGTCAAGCCCCGCTTAATGCTGTTTCACTTAGCGCTATTTCACTATAACGCTCATTTTACACTGATACTGGATACCACTTAGCACTCAAGAAAGTTTTGGTACAACGCTAGCAGGCATCATACAGCTGGCAGCAGGTTTCGCTTAATGCTATTCTGCTTAACGCTTGGTTTTTCAGGAGCCAATTAAGAGCGCTCATTGGGGTTGCCTGTATTTTCTAAATAAAGCTTTGGTTCCAACAAGGAGAATCTGCAGTTCTGGAACATCAGTCTCATTGAGAGAAGTTACCTTGCAGTCTTACTTCTGGCCCTTTGTATGCATCCTTATGGTAACCTAATAATTCTCTAGGATATAGTATAATATACTGAACACATTCTATGCACATGAGGAATAGATGACTTAAACCTGAAACAAATATGGTTGTTTATAGCAGGGATTGCCAACCAGGGGTATATGTAGCCTAGGAGCAGGGCCAGAAAGGTAGGGAAGGGCAGCAGTGCGCCTCTGCAAGCCACACAGGCGCTACCTGGCTGGCTGGATACAGTGGAAGGGGAGGTGGGGAGCTCTCATGCAGCAGCCATGGCTGCCACCTACCACCCCATGGGGCTCCCACGTGCCCCCACCCCTCCATGCCCAGCTGCCAGGGGTACACTTATTAAAAGAGCCCCTGGATTTAGGACCACCACCTCATGTAAACCAGAAATTGTGAGGTAAAAGACAAACCTGGGACTGAGTTAGTATACAGAGAGAAATGATGGTTGTTTGATTGGAGATTTGCAATATTAGGTGAGATGTTTGAGTTTATGTTCCTTATCTTCCAGATGCATCACTTTTAATCCATAAAATCCTGAATTTTAGCACTTAGCTCTAAAGTTAGAAGCAGCTATGCATTCTGAAGTTTACCACTATGCATCCAGAAAGCCCAGCAGATGCTTTCAGAGCACGTATTTGTTCCTCAGCAGAGATCTGGGCTTTTTGTTTTCCATGGGGAAAAAAATGACAATATGTGGGTTTTCTCCTTCAGCGGAGAAAAACCTGGGAAACTCAGTGCTTCCTCTTGCAGGCTGGCATATTTCCAGCCTGTAAGGGGCTGGGGGGAGCAGAACGCAGAGGGTGCTTCATGAATGTGTGCATGCACACAGCAGCAAGGCAGTATTGTGGAAAGCAGCTCCCACAGCGTTTTCCGCGAAAGTCTATGGGGATAGGAAGGGCATAGTCAATACATCTGGGGACTGGGGGCACATGCCCCACCCCAGATTTCTGTGCAGGTTGGGAGTGAAGGGCAATAGCACAGGCGTGGGCAGGGGCAGGGCACTGGCATATCATGGCTGCTCATTGCCACAAAGCAGCAGGAGGGACAGCTACAGCTAGACCTCCATCCTGGTGAGCAAAGTGGGCAAAGGAAACTCTGATTTTCTCTGCTAAAAACCCAAAATCAAATACCAAAATATATAGGTATTTAGAATTTATTTTATTATAATGACTGATGCACTTTTAGCTTCCAAATTGCTTTAAAACTGTAAATATATTAAAAACATTGTGCTCAACTGATACCTATGTATTTCATTTTAATTGCAGAAAAATGTGGATTTGGGGGTTTTTTTTAAAATCAGAGAATTTCAGATTGTTAAACAGAGAAAACCAGGATGCCTGTTATTCAGATTCTGTCTGTTTTATATACACCAACAATTTGGGGAGGCTTCATTAAGTATTTGAGAGGCAGATTATTCTGGTGAGCCAAAGGAAGCCCAGGCAGAAACAAATATTGCCATTTCTGTGCAATTTAAGGATAGTATACAGTAAGTGACACTGGCCTACACTCTGAAAAACACTTTCAAATCTTAATTCTATTACCCTATTATACCACACACAGACGGAAGTAGGGCTGAAAAATAAAGTGGTAACTAACATAGTGACTGATGTTCTGGCCTTAATCCATTTACATTCCACCATTTATAGGTATGGCCAAAAGTGCACAAACTGGAAGATCTTTGCAGCATCTGTTGAGGTGCTACACTCATCCTTCATACTCACAGTGGGAACAGACGTGCCAAGTGGGGGGGAGAGATGTGCCCACACCACTCCAAATTTTGGGGAGGGTGGCTTTTTTGTTGTTGTTGTTTTTTTAAAGGGCTCATGGTGAAAAGGACCCCTAAGTATTTGGGAATAGAGAGGAGTTGAGGAATATGTATGTGGACTAAACTTCTTGAAAAATGTCAGGTACTGTTATATGCAAATAATTTTTCCTCAAGTGATGGCTAAATAATGTGTCACATTCTTGGCAATTCCTAAACAGGTGAACAGCACATATAGCCTTAATCTACCAAATTCCAGATTGTCCCTTCAAAGCTTGCACAGATGTACAATACTTTCAAGGAAGGGAGACAATCCAGGCTGTAGGTAAAGCACAGCTTCACATCTCCATATGCATCTACACACACAGCAGAGCTCACTGCTGGCAGCATGGATGCTGCCAGAAGGGTAGGGAACAGTCACACAAAGAGTCACTGGTCTGCAAGATACTGGGGCACACAACAGAAAGAGTAGTGATTGCACATCTCCTAGCACAGGGGCCAGGTATTGTAGCACTCTTAGAAGGATCTTGTGACACTATCTGAGAATCACTACTGTAGAGTCATTTTTAAGAGACCCTACAAATTAATGATCAGTACACTCTGGTGTTTTCAAAATCTGTTTGTATGTCTGCTTTTGTGACAATCATTCAGTAATATGATAACTTTACATGACAGAGTGTCTGAAATCTTGAGATTCAATATTATGAGTCCGTACCAAATAGCATTAGAAATAGGGCAGGGAGGGACTAAGTCGTAAAGTTTGATTACAAGGTAAAAACTAACACTATACCAAAGATAATATTAACACTTTAAAATTAGTAAGTGAGCGGTGAGCAGTGAAAAGCAACTGAAATGTCATCCAGTTGATTCTATTTTCCATTCCACAGCATGACTATAACATTCTCCTCCTGTAGGACCGAAAGATAACTTTGACCAGTTTCCAAACAAAAGATTTTTTCTTTCTTACACAGAAAGTGAATTACATTTGCTTACACAATAAACCTCTACACTGATACCTGCTACTGGGCCAATATACCCTTTAAACCGGAGGCTGGCAACCTATGGCCCACAGGACTGTGGAATCACCAAAACTGGCCTGCGGATGTGGCATTTCAACTATGAGCGCTCTTCCTGTACTGCTGTGGGGCCAAGCACCAGCAACAGCCAGGTTCTAGCACCCACTCACCTCTGACCTAGGGTGGGTCATTCTGGTCCACAGGTGGAAGATGTTGCTACCCCTGCATTAAAACTTTAATCCCCACTGGAATAGTTTTGGGCTCCACAATTCAAAAAGGACGTGGAGAAGCTTGAGAGAGTCCGGAAAAGAGCCACACGCATGATCAGAGGTCACGAAAACAGACCTTATGACGACAGGCTGAGAGCCATGGGGCTCTTTAGCCTGGAAAAGCACAGGCTCAGGGGTGATCTTGGTGGCCACCTATAAGTTTATCAGGGGTGACCACCAGGATCTAGGGGAACATTTGTTCACCAGAGTGCCCCAAGCGATGACGAGGTCGAATGGTCATAAACTACTACAAGACCGTTTCAGGCTGGACATAAGGAAGAATTTCTTTACTGTCCGAGCCCCCAAGGTCTGGAACAGCCTGCCACTGGAAGTGGCTCAAGCACCTACATTGAACACTTTCAAGAGCAAATTGGATGCTTATCTTGCTGGGATCCTATGACCCCAGCTGACTTCCTGCCCTTTGGGCAGGGGGCTGGACTTGATGATCTTCCGAGGTCCCTTCCAGCCCTAATGTCTATGAAATCTATGAAATTTATGAAATATAGTCACAGTATGAGAAGCCTTCAGAATCCCAGAACTAGAGGTTTATGTTAGTCTAGGCAATTCCCCGTCAAGGATGACGGGGGCAAGGGGGTAGGGTGCTGCGATGGAGTGCCACCACCTAATGCCCCATGCTGCCACTGTTCTGCCTCTTACAGGAACCAGGGTGGGGAAGCCAGGGCCAGCACTGCTTTGGAATCATGGGGGCACTCCTCCATGCTTGGAACATTGATTAGCTGTTTCCGTCAGCCAATCAGAGCGCAAATAAGGTCCGACAGCCAGACAGACTTAGGTTTTTATAATATTAGAAGGTACTGTAGGTAGCAGCACAAAAGCACAGTCTTAAATATGTATAAGAATAGCCCAGTGGGGGGGTGGGGCAGGGAACAGGGAGGAAAACAAAAAAAAAGGAGAGAAGTTACTTACATCCTGTTATGAAATCCTCACATATTTTACTGTCTTCAGACAGATTTATGTCTTGCTCTTTATCAAATGATGTATAATATGCAAGGTCAGTCACCCATTTTCCCTCTTCGTTTTGATAGACAACACTATGTGGTTGATCACCTGAAAGAGACCACATATCAAATACTGCACTGTTGATTGACACACAGTACAAACATTTTTTTCTTACTTCTAGGAATAAAGGACATTATTTATAGCAAGACAAAGTAAGAAAATGCAACTAAAATTTACTGAAACTGGTAAAAACTTAAATTGCAAAGTTTTAATTCATCAGATTACCTGTAGAACAATTTCATACATTAAAAACAAATAAGCAATACACCCACAAAGTTGAACTAAATTTTTAAATTCTACTTAAGTCATAATAAAGGACTCTCTGTAACTGATGTAAAAAGATTTCTCCTCAATTTGTGATAACTCCATATTTCTGTGAGGGAGGAAAGAAGGGTGTGAGGAGGGACAAGAAACAATATTGTTTGAATTATTGTAATAGATTTCCTAGAGCAACTGACTTTTGTGATGCTGTACCTTGATATTCATTTTCTCTGCTATCAGCAGTTGGAGACAAATAAGTATCAGCCAGACCAAGTTCACACTCATTAGTCAAATTTGTATCCATCACAGATGTATTTTCACTGACTGGAATTTTAGGAGTAGTATCATCCACAAATATCCCCTTGGTTAAATGCAATACTTCTGCATCAGATGAAGAGGCCTGGTGCATAGAGGATTGTGTTCCCTGCTTCAAGAGGGCTTCCGAGAGGTTATTCTTATTGCTGTCCATGTTTTGAAGATATAACGAAGATACTTTTACTTCAGCAATATTGATGGATTCTGGCATACCACCACAATTCATGGAATCCTTAAAAAGATAAAAAAAATTTAGAAAAAGATCATGGAGACTTTTCACAAGACATTTTTAACAGCAAGTCAGTTTGGTATATACATTTAAACTAGATTAAGTTATATTGAACTATGTTTTTATTTTAATTCAGCAAAAATGATTTTATATTAACATTCAGTACTAATAAAGCTTATTTATGTCCATCAAGTTTCCACTGCTCAAGTCACCTCACCACCATTTTTGACTATTTACAAAACAACAAAACTGAAGTGGAATGCCCCAAAATATACCGATTGAAACTCACTGTTTCCAACCAGGGAAAGGGGAAAAAAAGAATTCCACCCTCAAGATGAGTTATAGCTCAGTGCAAATAACAGTAATTTCTAAACCAGCCATTTCCCTCATTTTTCTTTAAAGTAGAGAAATCCACATTTTTCTCTACCACTGAAACACAGCCAATACTAAGCAGAAACGGCTGATTTAACAGCAAGGGTGAGTGAGAAGTCTTTAGCACAGATCATAGTTGGTTTGGGAATGTGGAGCACAACCCCTCTAACTTAACACCCAGGACTGGTGTGTCCACTCATGTCAGATTCCCACTCCCCCACTATCAAAGGCTAGTTCAGATCTTCATGGACCAGATCCAAGTTTTTCACAGGCTAGACCTGGTCCATGAGCCAGAACGTTGCCAACCCCTGCTCCTGTACACACCGTAGATACTTAAAGATGCAGGAAAAACAGAAAATTATAACTATTTTTGTGGATCAAATGCAGTAATAATTGCATGCCAGAGAACAGACTGAAGTGTTTTAAGTTCGCTGTTTAATTTCAGCATGCCCTCCTATACCTTATTTAAAACACAAAACTAAACAAAAAAATCCACTCCCAATTGACTCAAAAGAACTAATCTTAACCAGTTTGAGTTCCCTTGATTGATAATATTCCTCCCAGTTTCTAAGAGCCGACTGGCAAATCCAGTTCTAGAAAAGCTGTACAAGGCAGTCAATTCAGCACTGACTATAGTTGTGGGTTGTGAAAAACAGAGTAAAAATATGGCAATATAATAAAGACCAGATTACACATCTCTCTGCTCATTTTTTTGAAGTCACATCCCCCTCTACTGTATATCCCTTGCTTTCTGAGGAGCTAACACATTTCATTTTCCTACAATGATACTGCCTAGGTCAGGGACTCTCACCCAAGGTGCCACCAGATCTTTTGCAGGATGTTGCAAGGTACAGGGAGATAAGCAGATATGCAAAGGCACAGGCTTGTACCTGCCTGGCCAATCCCTCACACATACCCACTTCCCAGACCATCTGAAAGGAGGCAAGCAATGTAGTATGTAAAATTAGTTTTTGAAATTGGGTGCCACTCCATCCACAGAAGTTTTGGAACGGATGTCTCAAATCCAAAAACATTAAGAACCACTGGCCTAGGTCACCTAAAAATAAGAAAACTATTGCAATACTGAGGTAATATTTTAGATAAATAAATATTAGTATAAATATTTTGTATTCACACATACCAAGACCTCAAATTCTCTTACCTCAGCATAAACAGGAATAGCTTCAGGAATAACACTTGTGAAAGGAGCCTGTGCCAACTCATTTTTAACCCCAACTATCTCCACTTCAGGAAGAAAAGATGGTACCCAAGTTACTCCATCTTCATTTCCACTCTCTTTAATACTACAGCCATTACCTGCAAAATGAGAAGAAAGATATAGAAGTAATAGTAAGAAACTATTACTATTAGTTTATTTTTTGCTGTAAGAACAAATTGATTTAGTGTGAAATGATATTTAATATGTCATTTGGCTGTAGTAAGTCAGCGATAAACTAAATGGATCTAACGATCTTCACATTTTTTAACAGTCCAATCTAATTCTGGGGAGGGGTTATTTTTTGTTTTTTTTAAATATAAGTAATACGATAGAAGTTTTTCAAAGAAGTTTTGAGTTTTCACTTAACCTGTGATGGATGGGCAATGGTTCACTCCTTTGCAATATTTTAAGTATTACAAGAAATAGCAGCAAATAGATTATCAGTTATTACAAAGAACACTGTTTGTTTAAACAAAGATCAAAATACCCTAAAGAATATCTGTAGATTTTTGTATATTTTATGTGCTGTAGTGTTTTCTTGGTAGTTCCTAAAAACATGTCAGGAGCACTGTATCTCCCACACTTTCTAAAAGAGCTTGGGTTTTATTATGTTCAAGTGAGTAGAGACTACTAAAGGAGTACAGAAACTGCAAAATTATTTCCATATGCATTTTTCAGTTGAAAGTTTGTATAACACAGGTTTTAGCAAGGTGGAAAAAGGTGATTAGTGACAAATGCATCAGCTGAAAAAAAAGAATGAACATTTAGCTGCCAGAGTATCAACATCTGGACCCTGTTCAACTGTCACATCTTCCTAAGAAACTTGTGAATTATTGTATTTACCTGACTAATTCAAATTTAAAGACAAATCCTCAATAATTAGATCCTTTGCATGGACAATTACGTATTTGTTATAAATTTTGCATGTAGAGAACCCAATTCTTGGGGGGCTGTCTTAAATTCATCTGCCCCAATGCTCCCCCCCTTCAATTCCCCCCTCCCCTCCTGTACCTTACAATCTCCACCACATGCACCGTCCAAAACAGTATTATACATTAATGAAAAATCCCTTAACCCATGGGATTGATAAATGATAATTTTGCCAAAATTATCATTATAGTTATCATTAGATAGAATCTTCCCCAAACAATATTTTACTAAGTCACAATACAGTCATTTACCTGGGACCATCTATTCTTATCCATTTTATTGAGAGTTTGCATAACATTATTTTTTAAGGGGGGCTTGAAGAGGCAGTGTTAAATCTCAACTAGGACTTACCTTCTTTGTGACATTAAGGTGTCAAAGGTTCCAGACCCCGCCAAGATAAAAAAAGTATTAATTAAGTGCAGTAGCAGTTTATGAAGTGCTGCTGTTTCTCTAAGCTGCAGTAAGTACAGAGCTGCAAAGTACACATACCTGTTATGGGCACACTAATAACCTGGTTCTCTGCAGACTGACTGTACTCTGTCTCAGAATTTGCCACTGTTCCAAAGGAAGGTTCCTCAGAAATACCTTCTAGTCCAGGTCTGAAAGTTGCCCTGTTACTTTCACCTATCTGTCGAGAGGAAAAAAGTTCAGCCATTTAGCAACTACATGTTTACAGTAGTTCAAAACAACAGTAGGGTCTTTAAAATACCTTATCTTAAATACTGGCATTAGAAGAGTTACATATGAGGAAGAGTGTAAGTAGTTAAGCTGACAATTAAATGACTTTCAAATTTGGTTCCCAACTTTGCTAGCTATTCTAGATAAATGAAAACTAGTTTGCTGAAGATCTAGAGGACAAGTATCCCTTTCACACGACTGGACTTACTGTTTTTGGCAACAAGAACTGTCCTGCTTGTTTGTGGTGTCCAGCTTCCCCCAGTTCATGTGCCTCTTTGTTACTAGCAGTTGTAGCATCCACTCTGGGTGCAGCTCCATGAACAGTAGGCACCTGAAAATTGTCCCAAACCATTAGGATTTAAAATTCAGCTATAGCAGATGCATCCAACTCTTAATCATTTGCTTTCACAGTAATCCAAAAAGGTCTCCAGTACTTTTTTTTTTTTAATTCTATTATGCAAAGGACTTTTTTTGCCAGAAGACTAGTCCTCACGTATCCTAACGTAGCAAGTTGTTCTACAGGACTGTAGTTACAATACTAGTTTTCACAGACGTACTACAACGTACTTAACTAAGGGTATATGCATATTAAGCATTAAATCAAAAATCTATGCAAAAGTGAGCCCAATTTTCTTACAAACTGTCTACCAGTTGTAGAACAGGCATGGTCTTCCAGCCATTAGAGGTTTATGGTTAGCTATATGTTAGTTTAGTTTCTTCACCATTGTTCCATCCAGATAAAGGACTTCAAGAAGAAGCTGAACTAGGAATATTAAAACACCTCATTCCTGCTAAGTACTGAATGAGCAAATACTGGAATATCCATTTAAGAAAACCAGATAGAGGTACTTCACTGCAACACAGTTACTTTAAAAGTTAGTGAACACCGCCTTTCCAAATGTGGCCGCTACGTGAAACAGCCTTTAAGTGGTTCCTGAAATGGGACATTGTCATTGTATAAGAATTATGGGCTATCACTACCATAATCCAAGTAAAAGTCCTCATACATCACACAGCAGGAACACAGATCTAGTCACAATCACTTTACCTTCTTCTTCAGGAAAAACAGCAACAGTAACGTAACTTTTTATATACTTCTCCGCAACTTCAACTGTTAAGTACAGTATAACCTCATAAATCCAGCGTTCTTGGGACCTACCACCTGCCAGAAATTTGAAAATTCCAGATTTTTGAAACACAAGGAAAGTGCATAGCCCGGCGCTGCCCAGATGAATGGATACTGGGGGAGAAGGGGAGGAAGCTTGCACACAGTGGCTGCTGCCACCATCCACCACCCCGCGCTGCCACTACTTCCCCTCCCCCCAGCTCCGCAGCCAGCCAGTGGGGGTACATTGGTCAGCAAAGGTTGAAAACCCCTGATGCAGAGTACTTTTTTTAAAAGTGCTGGGTTTTTGAGAATTCCAGAATTTTGAAAATTTGATTTATGAGGTTATACTGTAGTAAGAGATCCTATAAGATCACAGAAGTAGCAAGGAAGAAAAGAAATTATATTCAGACTATCAACACCTTCTGAAAACCTTTTATACTATATCAGTTTATCAACCTGTGAGGCAGTTCACCACTTAGTGAACTCCGCTTCACAAAAAACAGAAAACAATGCAAACAAGAGCTTTGTGCAACAAGAGAAGGAAATAAAGCAGAAGTGGCTGATTAGCAGAAACTGCTTGCCCTATTTGTTCTACAGCAGAAACTCACATGAAAAAGGAAAGATGACGGAAAATTATGTTAAATCTTTAAAAAAGCTTTTTAAAATTTGCCCCCTATAGTTACTACACTGAAGACACTGTTTCTACCCCAAATGGAACCCAACTTGCTGGAAATGATATACAGAAAGAATATTCAGCCCTGAATTTTATCTTAATCCTACCCGATTCAAGCCATTTTCCAGAAGTTCCAATACTGCACAACGTTCTGAAAGTTCCTGTATTCCTCTCAGCATTTCTGGTGGTACCAGCTGCTCAAAATAAGCTTCCAGCTGGTCGTCATAGAATTCTCCATCATCAATATCATCATCTATTGAAAAAGAAAAGGATTAAAAATCTGATACAATAAAAACTTTTATTATTTACTTAAGGAATTTGTTACTATAACCCAGGTGCAATCCACAGAGCATTCAGCCCCAGAAGCTTAGAAGCTGGACAGCCCTGAAATATACTAGGGGTGCACTGATAAAGATTTTTTTGACCAATACCAATGGACAATTATTAATGAGCCATATCAGCTGATACAGATCCAACTGCCGATATGCAGCATGGAAGCTTGGATAGCAGCACCCAACTGGTAAGTCTTGGGGGGAGAGGGGTAGGGCAGATCGGGGCCCCCACAGTGACAGAGGAAGGGGGCTGGGGCTACCCAGCCAAGGCGAGGCAAAGGACAGAGCAGCAAGTGGCTCACCTGTGGGCGTGGGGGCGCCATTTCCATTGGCCGGGGTATACATGGAGCAAGGGCAGGCTGCCTGCAGTGGGCTGGGGCCAGATTCTTCCCCGGGATGGGCTGGGACGTGGCTGTGCTCGGGCCCAACACGGTTACTAGCCAGACACTGCTCTCCAAACTGCCAGGCTGGCCACGTGCATGCTGCAGCTGCGTGTATGTACATGGCATGATTTCAGCCACATCAGCCAAAAAATTACGTTAAATCTTTAAAGAACTAAAAATCTAAAAATAATTTAAGATTTGGAAAAGATCAGCCACATCAGCCAATTGCTAATAATGTCAATTTTCCTTTTATTGGTGCCGATAGTATATGGACCAATGAATCAGTGCACCTCTAAAATACCATGCTTAAAATAAGTCTAATATGCCAGCTAGAAGTTTATGCACAACTGGTTAGGAACTGGATTTAAAATTCAGATAAAAAGCCAAGTTAACTGGGTGGCACAGATTTAGCAATCTGTTTTAGCAATCCAGCTCTGTCACAGTAAGACAAATACTTAGTACAAATTGTACCCACTGCCAAGAGCTGCCAACTTCGTTACTACAAAAGGTCTGCATCTCTTCTTAAACCTTTTCATTCACAATATGAACATAAGCATTGTTCAGCTTTGATTTTCTAGCTAGAAGATATACAACTCAATACCAAGTTCAGCAGTGAATTCCGTAGATACCAATTTTAATATACCAGTAATTCAAGCAACCATGATGTTCTTCTGCTTAAAGTAAACTGATTAGCTCGACCGAGAAGTTTCCTTAGCTATACAGACAATGAAATCTAATGTTTTAGAGTTATTTTATCTATCTGCCCCTCTCAAGTATCTGAAGATATGCTACAAGCTGAATCACAGTATACTGACCAGTTGAGTATTCATCTAAACTTGCAAGATTCAGTAGCTTCTCATTCTCCAAACAATCCAAATGACTTGTGCTGCACTGCTCACTTAACATTTCACCATCCAATTTTCCTCCAGGTTCAGACTGCTTAACCTATGAAACACACACATGCATGGTCCAGGAGTTCCCAGCTGTAAAACTCAAGTTTTTCATAAAACAGCAGTAATTTTGGCAAAGACTTTTTCTCTTCTCCATCCTCCACCATAAATTCCAGTCTCTAACCACCATTCACCAGGCAATTAAAAGATAGGTAAAAGAAATGCAGGGAACAGGAGATGTGAGAGGGGGAAAAGTACTCTTACAAACTTGCAATATCTAAGACTTCTAAATAGAAGCTTTTAGTTTTCTTGTTCGCTAGTCTGGCCCTCCATTCAATAATCCTCAGATTCCACCTTGAAGCATGCATAACAGACTGCTACTGCTTGAAGAGGCTCCTGCAGGCTCCAAACACCAAAGCATAAATTGGTTTGAAGGAACTTGCCAAAAAAAGCCTGTAAGATACATTTTCAAATAAAATCCTACGGAATCCATTCAATCAAAAAAATCTAAATTCACAAATTGTTTAGAAAAATATTAAAAATATCAATATATGGTAGTGTCTCAATGTTTCCAGATGTTTTGGCTTTATGCATTAAAGGAGGAGATGCTAAAGCAAAAAGATTTTAAAAAGAAAAACAACCGAGGTACTAGTAGCAAATGCTTCATTAAATAAAAATACAGTATATGTCAGCTTCAAAAAGCTTTTGAGAGCTTCAGCAAAACTTAAGTTTCCTTAAAAACAGTATAGCCAGCTGACCAACTTGAATCTTTTCTATATGAACAGTGAGGAATATTTTTTTTAAGACTACAGACATAATTATTAATCCCCTTTAGAGACGTTTAACCACTTAAAATGAAATTCAAATTATCCTGTTGGATTATTATAGATCAATATCTCCTCCATAAATCAAGATTTGATGTTAATGGAGGCCATGAACTGGCAATTGTTTTGCCACTGGTAATTTGCTGCCCTGCAAGTAATTTCTGCCTTAAATTCTGCAAATTGTTACTGTTCTAATTTATAAATTTAATAACATAGAAGATAACCACTACTCTCTCAAGTGCTTTTCTCTATATAAAACACATCCTTTAAACTCCTGTAATATAAAGTACATTTACCTTGATCTCTTTATTAGTTTGTGGCAATGAACATATTCCAATGGACAAATCTAGAATGAGAGAGCAATTTAATAGCAACTTGAATATGACCTTTTAATACATTACTAAATATTATACATTCTATTTCTATGTTAAAAAGGTCTACAAACTAAGCCTCTTGAGGTAAGGGCTTGAAGTTTAGTTTTATTAGCCATCTATACCACATGGTACACAAACATAACTTTGAAAAGTCCCCACTTATAGCAAAAATCAGGGACTAAGTTACTATAAAAATAATAATATAAATCAAGGTCTCACTATGGCTGACACCTGCATAAATGGTGTGATACAATCACTACTCCCAGGGCTTTCAATCTTATTTAGCAACAAAGAATAAAAGGAATTCCAAATACAGTGCAATAACTTGAAGCTCACACCACAGGTCAACAACAAAGGTGATTAAAAACTAGTATCATGCCCTATCCACTAAGCCACAACTTTCTTTGCTCCCTTCCAGTTACTTAGTGGTAGAGTAGAAAAAGGGAGCACAATCTCAACTGTTGGGTAGACCAGGGGTGCTCAACCTCCAGCCCACAGGCCAAACGCAGCCCATGACACCATCAGATCCAGCCTGTGGGGCTCCCCCACAGGTCTGGAAGTTTGGCCCAACCAATATGGCCAACCTCCTCCCTGCCAAATACCCAAACCTCAATTCCTGTGTGTCAAGTTGGAGCCCACAGGACCAGGCTATGCTTCCCCCCACTTCTGGATAGGTACCAAGCCACATCCCCCCTCCCCATCTTCAGGGCTAGGTTGGGCTGGGCCAGTCCCCTTTGCCCCCCCCACAGTGAGCTACACCCCTTTCCCTCCTGTTGGGGGTGGGCCATGCCCCCTTCCCCGTGGAGCCAGTGGGGACATGGCCACATCCCTTCCTCCCCACCAGCAGGGCCAGACCATGTTCTGTTCTTTCTTGCAAGGCTGGGATCAAGCTCTTTTCCCCTGCAGGGATGCATTGGAGTCAACCTGCCCCCCAGCCTTTCAGCCAGATGGCACTTGCCTTGCCCACCTAGATGAAGAATCAGGAACACTGGCTTTATCTGGCCCGCCAGCAGATTGGGCACTGCCAATGCAGCCCAAGGGGCAAAAGGGCTGAGCACCCCTGGGTTAGACTATAAGCTCTGCAGCAGGAAGTCCTTTAGCTGTGGGTATGCCAGTCAGCATAATGGGTCCCAATCCTCAAGTAAGATTTTAGATACAGGCAACTCGTGGGGGGGGGGGGGTAGCGACATGCCCACCCCGAGACTGCCTGTTGCTCGCCACCCCCCGCCCCCCAGGTGACACCACCGCCGACATCTGCAGGCGGTCCCCATTTGCCACCGGTGCTGCCGCCTACAAATGGTGCCTCCCCCAGTTGTGGGAGGCACTAGTCCTTCATGATTTTAGATACTGCTTCAGTAGGGGGGAAAAAAACAAATAAATAAAAAGCTTATCCTGGGCTAGTCTCAAAAAAAGTTAATTAATCCAGTGTCAGTTGACTGGTGTCTTTCATGCCACAGTGGCTCAAAAAGATGTTAAAGACACAGATATTGCCTAATATTCAACAAAAATTTGAAAAAATAATTCTGTAGCCATCAGTTCAAAAAATTGTGTTGTTATCTTTGCTGTGGTAGCCCCACTCCGCAAACTACAAAATGGCTGTTCTTCTGCTAAAATCAAGAAGTGCTCATTTTCTTAAGAAAACGATACTCACGGCCCAAGGGGTGTCCATCCCGACAAGAAGCAAGGGGGACAGGAGTGTCCGGAAGCCCCCCTGGCTCACCAAGGGCGTCCGGGACTGCCTGCTTGCCAAAAAGGCGGCGTACACCCGGTGGAAGGGGGGTGAAATCTCCAAAGAGGAGTATACCT